GTATAGGATTACGTAGGCTACTGATGACAACCTGCCAGCTGCAGTCTTGAATCATGGTTTGCAGCAATATCAATATTTGAACAAGTCTTTCCATCCTTTGATCTTTTGTTATTTCTTGCTAAAGCATGGCACAGCATTCACAATTTATTAAATAGAAGTGACCATGGTTTATTGAAGAGATTTATGGTTTGCAGACTGACTCTGTTAGTGCTTTTTTTTTTTGTTTTTTGCCGGTAGTACTCCATCGCTCAGCCCATCCCCCAGGACAGGCAGGGGGGATAGAGGGGTGAGCGTTTGGAGGCTCTAGTGATATCAGAGCCCTTTTATAACTCCCAGCTCTAAACTTTGAAGTCACAGCCAGACAGCTCAGGAATCCTACCCCCCCATTTGACAATGAGGAGGGGGATGGTCAGAGCTAAATAGTGTGTTTGGACAATCTGCTCCCATATGAACTCATAAGTCATTTTAACTGTCATTGCAGTTCATCAGCCAGAGCTAAGTGGTGAAACTACAGTGTGGCCAGATCCACATGCTGAAGTGCTCAAGAGAAGAAAATGTGGCTGAACTTGATCTAAAAAATTCAAATCTAAAGTAAATATACAGTCACAAGAAAAAGTTAAGACACTCTTTGCAGTTTCCTGTTTTCTGCGTAAAATGGCCATGAAATGTGATCTAATCTTCACCAAAGTCACAAATATATCAACAAACATCAAACATATTTCTAAGCTGATAAAACACAGTCATGATCTTTCATGTCTTTCTTGAACACACCCATTAAACCTACAAAGTTATGGTGGAAAACGTACTAGCAACGGTGTTTTAGTAACTGGTTGAACCACCTTTGGCAGCAATAACCTCAAGCAAGCGCTTCCTGTAGTTGTGGATTAGACCTGCACAACATTCAGGAAGAATTTTGGACCGTTCTTCCTCAGTGAACTGCTTCAGCTCAGCCATATTCTTAGGATGTCTGGTGTGAACGGCTCTCTTGAAGTCATTTCACAGCATGTCTACTGGGTTGAGGTCTGGGCTCTGACGTGGCCACTCCAAAAGGTGGATTTAGTGTCTCTGAAGCCATTCTGTAGTCGATTACTTTGATGTTTAAGGTCATTGTCCTGCTGCATCACCCAGCTTGTTCTGAGTTTCACCTTGCAGACAGCCACCCTGACATTATCCTGTAGGATCTCTTGATAAACCTGGGAACTGATTTTGCCCTCCACAATGGCAAGTGGTCCAGGTCCAGAGGCAGCAAAGCAGCCCCAAATCATGATGCTCCCTCCACCGTACTTCACTTTTGGGATGATGTTTTTATGCTGGTATGCGGTTCTCTTTTTACGCCATACATAGTGCTGTGTGTTCTTCCCAGACAGTTCTACCTTTGTTTCATCTGTCTACAGGAAATTTTCCTAATAGTGTGTTGTGCAGTATCAAGGAGGTCTTTGGCAAACCTCAGGTGTGCTGTAGTGTTGTGTTGGAGAGCAATGGCTTCCTTGGTAGTGTCCTGCCATGGATACCATGCCTGTTCAATATTTTGCATAAGGTTGACTCACAGACAGAGATGTTCACCAACTCCAGTGAATCCTTCAGGTCTTTAGCTGTTACTCCAGGGCTTGTTTTTTTTATATCATTGAGCGTTCTGTGTTGTGCCTTTGGTGTGATCTTGGCTGGGCGCCCACTTCTATGGAGAGTAGCCACAGCACCATATTTACAGACAATATGTCCAACTGTGGACTGATGAATATAAAGATAAGACTCCAAGATAAAGTCTTGGAGATGACTCTTTAACCCTTTCCAGCTACATACAAATCACCAACTCCTGATTGTAGGTCTTCTGAGATCTTGTTTGTGAGGCGTGTCTCACATCAGCTGATGCTGCTTGTGAATAGCACGCTGATGCTGTTTGAGAGTTTTTATAAGTCAAGATCGTTCTAAACCACACCTCCACTCTCCTTTCATTGATTGGACTCCAGGTTTGCCAACACCCGACTCCAGTTGATGTTTAGTGACATCAGAGGCCTAGTGTTGCCATTACTTTTTCCACAATCACTTTGTATGTTTAATGGGTTTGTTCAATAAAGAAATGAAAGATCATGACTGTTTGTGTTTTATAAGCTTATAAATATTATGTTCATTGATATTTGTGACTTTGAACATTTCATGGCCAATGTATGCAGAAAACCAGGAAATCGCAAACAGCAGCATTACTTTTCCTTGTGACTGTATCATTATTGTTATCCCCTTTTTGACTTGGACTTGTTCGATCACAGTGTAAACCCCAGACATCTAAGAACTCATATTTCAATAATTATGTCTGGAAAGGTGACAATGTAATCCAATGCTAGCAAAGAATTAATTAACAGTATGTGGGATCAAACAAGGAAATGGGAGATAAACCCTATCTGTGTTCAAAGTCTGTCTATTAGATGGGAAATACGACATCAAAAACATCCTCAGGGACATCATCTCTCTTTACATCACTGTGTGTATGTACAGGCTCATTTCAAACAGTGCAAACAGAACTGTCAACGTATATGAGCAGTCAGTCACATATTAACCTCTACAGTTTAACATGATCATATATGCAACAGAGCTTCATAGTATCAACGTAATTCATGATACAGTTTTTGTGGCATTATGCTTTGCACTAAGGCTACAGCAAACCCAATATGTTCATTACTGATTAATCATTTGCTTTAAGTCTTTAAATTTTTGACATACTCAAAATTCTAGTTTTACTGAGCAGGCAAAAACTCAAATACATTCAGTTTACTGTGACATAAGACAAAGAAAAGGAGTAAGAATTGTGATCTCTCACATGTATAAAGGAATCCCACAACTCTCGGGAGCAGAAAAAAATGCTACAGGAGTATAGAAATAAAACACATTTTCTGATACAGAAAAAACACTGAAATATGATTTACTATAACAATGTAACAGTCAGACAATTTTCAATCAATCAAGTCTGTTTCAGAGAAAACATGAAAGGTAAGGAGCTGGTTAGTTACATGCTGATCCAACTCTGGTCTACTGTAACTACCTTATGATGCAAATAAATCAAGGGCATGACTTTGATAGAAGTGAGGGTGGGACCCACCTACTAATAAATGTCAGGCTTCTGCCTGTGGTGGTTTCCCTTCAGGGGAATGTGAACTCAGGCTCGTCTGGAGTTTTCTTTTAATTTGCCCCGGGTGCATGGTTTATAGCCCTGATAAAATCCATAACTCTCTCACTATTACAACCACCCACCTCACAGATTGTCAGTGCCTCTGTGAACTTCTCACCGTGTCTCAGGACTCTCATACCTCTCAGAACGCCACGCTAATTGAAGTGATGTAATGTTACACGTATGCCACAGAAGGCTGCACACTGTGAGCCACACTAGAATGGAAGGCATTGAGGAAAAAGACACAGCCCTGAGTCATGATGCCAGCAGCCACAAGAGCAAACTTTATATCCCTCAGTCTGAGGAATGACTACCTTTCCATCCAGTCTCTGTGTGTGTGCTGCCTTGCCAAGTAGCTTCACACACAGAGCTCATGGCTGTCAAAACCCATCCAATGATGCTGGCAGGGGAATAACCACAGCAGTGTTGTACTAGAGCCAGACATCACAGAAAGAACAACAACCTACAACTTTGCAAAGACACTGGCATGTTCTCACACATGCTTGTGAATACAGTTTACCCCCCTTAACTCAAGAAGTTCTCAGCTCATCTTTCAGGAAACAGCAATGTAACAGCTTCAGCCAGTCACCTTTGAAGTGCTTGACAGATCCATCACATCAACAAATGCAAACACACCCGGCACACCTTTGTTTCCTCTCCTAATGAGTTGTCTTCAAACTGTTAAACAAACATGTCCGTGTCACATAAATGCAATGGTTCTTTATAGCTTTTCTATATTTCACAATTTATGTAGCACAGGGTGGAAAAGCATCTTTGCTATAACAAACCAGAGCTTCTTTCATTTTCATAGATCTGCATTTTTTGCTTTCTGGCCTGGAAGTCATATTGGTTTCCACAAAGTCTTGAGCATTTGAACAGAGAGAACTTGATAGTATGAGGAACTTGTTTAACTGTTATTAAAACAGCAGATCAAAACAAGTTTTGGAGCTTGTCACTATGAAGAAGAAGAAGAAGAAGAAGAAGAAGAAGAAGAAGGAGGAGGAAGCCCAATACCTGCAAGTTCTTCAGCTTGTGATCCGTCGCGTTGTACCTCTCACACTCCTCCATCCCTCGCCGGAGGAAGGCGTTCACAACTAAACTGTCTCCTGACACACGGACAAAATGCATGCATGAGCAGATATACATCTCGAACTATGGTTAATTAGATTCTCATCCATTATAACCCTTCAACATACGAAATAATTGATTCTCACCTTCAGGGTTTTCTCTGCGCTTGCACGCTTTAGATCCCGTCATCAGAAACAGGGATGCAAAATAGACAATCGTTAGTTTTGTAGCCTACATCCAAATAGGTCTGCTTTTAAACTGCAGTGCGTTCAACTGTCTACAACATCTCTTACCATGTTTTGAGTGAAGTTTGCCCATTCTTAAGTCGCTCCTCCTTGGATCAATAAAGGTATTCTGAAGTCCGACAAGGGTAAAACTGTCACTGACTAAACATGGTCACATTGTGTGTGTGTGTGTTTTGCAAAAAGAAACACTCCAACTTCATCCAAAGGAAGGTAATTAAGCTGCGCGATCATTGAAGCATCAGTTGTCTGTGTGTAGAAACAAGATAAGCCTGTTAAACGGTCAGCGGCAGACAAGGGGTGCTCTCCGTCGCAGGACGCCTCGCTCCAGCTGAACGTGGAAGCGTTTTGAGAACAGCAGCGACCGAGCACAAAGTGTCAGGACATACCTAGCACTTCCGGTAAAGTGCTTTGAAAATAAAGCACTTAATTGATGGAAACGTTGAAACGGCAGCAAAATGCGAAGAGAGAGAATGTAAATCATAACATGGAATATATTAGGCTACAGCTTGGCATATAGACCAAAGCCATGTCTTAAAATGGCTTCAGAGAGAAAACTGAACAAAGTGATTGATTTATAGTTTGCTCTATTAAATTATAGCATGCACATATCATAATCACAGACTGCAGGTCAGTGAATGTGGCCCAGTCTTTTCCTCTCTCATGTATGTTGTCCATGATCTGAGAAATGCCCAAGTTTTAAGTTGACACATTTGTTAAACTATTACCAGCAGTATTAGCCAATTCATTTTTTTTTATGTTTAGGCTATTTGGTTTGCAATCAATAGGCTACGTTTATTTCTTCATAAGGTCAACCAAATAATTGCAATGGCTAATTACAATATTTTAATTCTGCTCAAAATTTTCTTCTTTTTTTTTTTTGTTCCTCCATAGTTTTTAATTTTCGTTTTCCCCAAATGTACCATTATTTTGAAAAGCAGATTTATTTAGTTTCCGGTTTAGATTCCGTTGCGCTTGACGCAGTTGTTGCGCAGTTGACTGTAAAAACACATCGGCTTTCTCTGCGGGTGTAAGTTTCCATAGCTTAGCTAAATATACAACAGATACAATTTCATTATTTTATTAATTAATTTCGTTATTTTATTAATCATATTTATAGGCCCATCAAGTTTCTGCTACTGTGTAAAATTACCACTGATAGGCTGCCTATTAGACAGTAATTTCCATTATTTATTTATTTATTTATTTATATGTAAACCAAACTAAACTGTTGTTTTTACAAAAGGAACCAGGAAGAAGACTCCTGTACTTTAGCTCACCAGACATCCAAAGTTTGATTGTTTCTTTGGGCAGGGCATTAAAACAGGGCTACACCACAGGACACATGCCAAGAGTTATGAATATTAATTTACCAAGCCAACCTTTTGCCCAGTATGAAAACCTGTATGTGTTGTTAGTATTGTGTAAGGATTCCACTCCTGTGCAAATTAAACCATTCAAAAGGAGACAAGCTGTTACTTTGATCATAAACCTTTATTACACGCTTGGTGTAGAACGTTCACTCATTGACTCGCTGCTCCAAAGTGCTGCTGTGATATAGGAAATTACAGCCCCTGCACCAAATGTTGTCTTTATTGCTCAAACTGTGCCTGGAAGAACATCAGAGAAATTTAATCTGTGCGTTACTGGAAGAACATCTTATTTTCTTTGAGATGAATGGTGCTGAATCATAGTGCCCCAGTTTCACCACCATACTTTGATGAACGTGGGGTGCAGCCAGGCCTGTGTAGCTGCTCCTGTCAATTTGACTCATTACAGACACAGGTCTCTCAGTTGGTTGACAAAGATGTGCCAACATTTGCATAGCCCATTGATGGCAGCTCTTTGATGCTACCTGCCTTGCCTAATTACCATTTCTTTATACAACCTGGCTCCCAGGCCTCTACCTCTTAACAAGGTATTTTTCCCTCATCCACTTTCTCCTACTTCTTCTAACATCCCACTTAAATGAATGACCAACATGCTGAAATCTCAGAACTCAACCAGAACTAAAAACTGTTTCTGACAGGAAAGTTTTTATTGGGAGTAAAAATAGAGCTGATGTTGCCTTTTTAAAGATAATGTTCACTTGGATGAAAGTACCGGTTTAATCATCAAAGGCTGTCATGTAGATGAAGAGCATTTAATGGATTTGTGTTATGTGTTTGCAAAGGATGTGAATCATTATACTGAAGTTATGTTAACCAAGACTTTGAAACCAGTAATGTAAATCTAAAGTTAATCTGAGTGACAGTTTCCATGGCTTTAAGTGCAGCTCGGCTCGTTTTCTTCTTCACATGCCTTTAGGTACATACATACAGTAAGTTAACCCCCTCCTTCTGTGAATCACCATTGGCACAGGTGATGATACTCCTTTGCTTTCGGCCATATATGTGAATGGTTAAGAGGATAATCATCAGAGTCCTTGTTTTGTTTGGAGTTTTCTGACATTTTCAAACAGCTTGAAACAGTGATAAAACCCTATAACAATAAGGCTTTTTACTTATGTTCCCTCTCTGTCTTGATTGCCTTTTAACAGCTGCATGATTTTGGATGAACTACAGTCAAAAATAAAAAGGCCTCCAGACAGAGCAATTATGGTTTTATTTACCATGCCCATTCCTACAACTTTTCTTTACTCTACTTTTTTTCCTCTCTCTACTTTGTGGTCATTGATGAGATTAGACAAAAGAAGGAATTCCTCATGTGATTCATCTCAATAAAACTTAATTGACAAATGAAAACTGTTGGCACTGAACAACTGTGCGAAAATACGGTGACAAAAAGGGATCATTCATACAGTTGGGGTTTTTATTAGTGAAATGAGGGTTTTATGCACAAGGGGAAATCCATTCTTGGCTCAATACTTAAGAAAAATATAAAGAGTATAAATCTCTTGTTTGATCTTAATGTGGACTGTTGCTAGTAAAATCAAATCCACTGAAATGATTCGTAAAATGTGCTCAGTAAAACTCACAACAAAGGTAATTTCAAAGGTGACAGTGATATCATTAAGTATGAAGCGAGTGAATAAAAATGAACTCAGTGTTTGCTTTTCTTTTACATTCAGGAACTGCCTGTAGAATCCACCTTATGAAGCAGAGTGAAGCTGTTGCTCAACAACAAACAAAGGGCACATTGTCTGAGGCCAGCAGCTGACATGCAAAGCAGCAGAGCATTCACAGAATGCAAAACATGTTCATACGAACACTGGAGCCACTCGTTTGCCCATGTAAACTGTGCGTATGACTGGCATTTCAAAACTAAATCATCTTTCAACAGTTTTGTTTTTGGGTCAAAATGGCGGCAACAACAAATATAGAAATGACTATCGGAATTCCAATGCAGGGGCCTATCTTATAAATATGACTGTTAGCTGAATAACTGAAAACATGGAATTGGTCTTGTTAGCTCGCACATTTGCAAATTTACATTTAGTATAAGCAAAGTTTTCTGGTTTTAATTGTGCAAAGTTATGCAGATAACGTACATGAGACAGGCTTAAGATCAAATACAATCTACACTCACCAGCCACTTTATTAGGTACACTTCGACTCTAGTGTGGGCAACTGGTTCAGTGGGTAGAGCAATTGTCTCCTGGTCAGGGGTTTGAATCTCGGTGCCCGCAGTCCACGTGTCGAAGTGTCCTTGGGCAAGACACTGAACCCCCCCGTTGCCCCTGATGGTTGGAGCCATCGGTTGAGTTGGTGCCATAGATAGCTGCCTCGGTTCTGTACCGGAAACAAATTCCTTGTGTGTAACATACTTGGACAAATAAAGGTGATTATCCTTAACATGTTTAGCATGCTCAGTGTTTCAGTTTTTGGTGAAATTGCCATAAATGTATAAATTCAGTTATATTTATTATTGAGACTATGGTGCTGTAGTGGTTAGTGCTGTTGTCTCACAGCAAGAATGTTCGGCCCAACCTGGTGCCTTTCTGTGCAGAGTTTGCATGCCCTCCCTGTGCCTGCGTGGGTTCCTTACTCCAGCTTCCTCCCACAGTCCAAAGACATGCAGCTTATTTTGATTGGTGACTCTAAATTGCCCGTAGGAGTGAGTGGGGGCGTGTGTGGTTGTCTGTCTCCAAGTGTCAGCACTGTGATAGACTGGCGACCTGTCTAGGGTGTACCCCGCTTCTCGCCCAATGTTAGCTAGGACTGGTTCCAGCACCCTGCTACCCTATTCGGGTTAAGCAGTATAGATAATTGATGGATAGTTGCATCCCATAAAATACATAACTTCTGTGTAAAAACTGCTCGACAGAATATGTGCGCCACCAAGTGGTGACTCAAAGGCTGTTAAAATGTCCAAAATCCATCTAATTTATTTAACTGCAGGATTTCAACACACAAAGGCACAGAGTATCGTTTATTGCAATGTTATAGAAAACAAAGTTGGAATGCACAATCCAGAGCTTAAGGAGAATTTGTTGTAGGCTTAAAACTTAAGGTCCAAGAGAAACATCCCTTTTTAAAACATATAAACACAAAACAATGCTACAGTAAGTACAGTAAACCGTTAATCTTCAGCCAGTTATAACCACTACATCTACAAAAGATAGACTTGGTCTTTTAATACAGTAGCACCAAAACATTACACGAAGACTTTAGATTATACATAACATTTTTATACAATGTTACTTCCAACATATTTAATGCACTGCCAGATGAACAGATTAAGTTTTATAAGAAGATGCAAAGGTTGTACTTTTCTGAACAACAAACAAACAAACAAGTTGTGGGACTGAGAGTTCATGAACAAACGCATCTCAGCCACTGGCCACTGTAAGAAGTTCAGACACCGTTGACCAGGTCAGCTTTTTCTGCCCTCTGTTTATTCACTGCATGGTCCATAGCCACCAGAAACCTCTCAAGAGTCACCGTTGGTGTCTGTGGACAAATTACGTAAAAAAAAAAAACAAAACAATAGACTTTTTCAAATCTCACTTACACACTGCAGAACACAATCAAACACTTACCTTCACAAACAGTGCGTGTGCTAGAAACGGTAACTTCCGGAGTGCTCTTCCACTCAAGCCATGGCTTTTCCTGGAAAAGAAAAGAAAAAACATTAGCCTCTGAATGTTACATTTCTCACTGGCACTTGATTGTTACAAGTACAGCACAGAAACACTGTGATTTGGGTGCAACTGCATTATGGGAGGCTGTACTCACCTAGCAATACCCCTCAGGATCAGACTGTGTTCAGACACCTCGCTCTCTGCAAACCCCATCATCTCAAGCTCAAACATGGTAAACAGCTGCTGCCGTGGGTAAATGATCTGGCACTGCACACAGCATGGATTGTAAAGCACATAGGAAATTCAAATTTATCACATCACCCCACTGAATCTATAGTGTTGCTGTTTATGACTATTTTTGCAGCACGTTGAAAACAAAGCTAAACATTACTATCTTGTTGTGATGCATATAATTTATGTTTTGCTTTAATATTACGATGCACTTCTTAAAAAAACAGGGAACAAAGAATGAAAGTGTGTTAAAGCAAATGTGTTTAAGCGATGAATGAATGCTACTAATGTAAACTACTGCTTGGTCACCTTCATCAGCTCCTCCAAACAAGACAGGTAAATGTTGTAGATGCCCTCCTCAGATGGGGGTCCAATGTACTGCTTGATGTCAGCTCTGTCCACAAATGCCAAATCAATCTTTTCTGTCACATTGGATGTTGTCAGGATCACCACATTTGAATGTCTGGAACGTAAGCCCAAAAGTAAACATGAAATAAACTTGTGTAAACATGACAAAATAAAAGTCTGACAGTAAGATTTTCCATTGTAAATAGTTATCAGGAGTGATTGCAAGAATAAAAAACTATGGCCTCTAGCCTCATATGCTCTAGGAGAGAGCCCATGGCATACTTTTCCTTATTTTCTGACTTATCTACAATGTTACAATGGTGAATTATCATCTTAGACGTGACCTAAAGCTCAAAAAATGAGGAGTACAAATGTTGTAGAAGCAACTCGGTTTATACACATCCCGCAAACTCTCGCTTGTAAGGCTTTTTTCCTAACAAAATTAAGTATTACGTGATAGTTTAAGGACCTCCTTGAATGGTCTTAATCACCAGGCAGTTGCAAGTTCATGTGAGCTTACCTGACATCAACTGGTCTTTTAAAAGTGGAGGTTTTTTTTGACTGCATGCGGTTTTGTGGATATATTTTACCTCCTGCTGCTGCACTGTGACCGGAGAATATGGAGAAAAATACAGGGTCTGAGGTTACTGTATGTGCGGGAATGTTCCTGTACTGGGATTCGTTGTTTTACCTGACTGGATTCCCCCAGAGCACAGTATCTGTTTATTTTGACTGCTTGAGGCCAGTGTGCCTGCAGCATGTGATGTGTTGCTGGTTAACCAGTGGATTGACCACCTATGATGTTATTGTTGGTGCTACGCTACCTGTTGAAATTATTTCCACTACTTCGGGACTGTATGTGGTCGTGTGGGGGAAGATGCAGTGACCACCAGTTGGATTTACCGACCTTGGAGCTACTTGAAAGGGAGTGATGTTTCCACTACTCAGTGGGACTTAACGGTAAGTTAAAAACAAACGAACAAAGAAACAAAAGAAAAAACACACACATACAAGTTACATGTCGGTTAATGCGTTGTTTCGGTAGAGAATTTTTGTAGGGCTGGAGAAGTTACTAGGTCTACATTATGCCAGTTAAAATATGGGGTTTCTCAATTACCTATTAGTGTTACAAATCTTTTTTCATTGATTCATATACTGTTGTTTACCTATCTATGGAGGAGAAATTCAAATTAATTAATGCCCTTGTGGTTTGCCTTGCTGTCCACTTCCATATTCTGGTTCCAATCATGTCAGATAGGATTTGAGGTATTGTAATGGTCGAAAACGTAGCTCATCTGTCAGTGTTTTTTGTTTATGCCTTGTCCACCTTCCTGACTGGTCTTGTGTTGAAAAGTGTTCACCTATCAACATGTGTTTCAACACAACACCTGCAACAGTAGGTGTGTGCATTCAACTATCCTCTTGTTTATAGGAGGTGGCTCTCAGGTTTTATCATTCTGAAATAATTGCAGACCTCTTGACGTTATGATTGCTGCAAAGCTAATCTAGAGGTACCCAAGATTAAAAATTATATGGCTGGAAATGAGCATGCCACGGGCACTTTAATAATATACATATGTTCTGCTTTCTGACCGTTTGATCTGGTCCAGTTGAGTGAGGAGAGAATTGACCACTCTAATGGCATCAGAAGGTTCCGTTCCAGCCTGGCAGGCATTCCTTGCTGCTGTCAGACTCTCCACCTATTCACAACACGGTGACGAGTTTACTAAGAAACAGCCTCAGTCACAGCAAAACACTCCTGAACATGGGATACAGTGGGGAAAATAAGTATTTGATACACTGCCGATTTTTCAAGTTGTTCCACTTACAAAGAATGAATAGATTTGTAATTTTCATCGTAGGTACACCTCAACTGTGAGAGACAGAATCTACAAAAAAAAATCCAGTAAATCACATTCTTAGATTTTTAAATAATTTATTTCCATTTTATTGCATGAAATAAGTATTTGATCACCTACCAACC